ATGTAAATGTTTTTTATGTTTTTTCAAAAACAAAAGCACCTAAAAAGTACAATATAATTCAACTTTTTATGTACTGGGTTTGAAAATGAGCACATATTGTTTGGAGAAACATTTTATCTCAACATTTTTATTTAAAAAGGTTTTTTTTTTTTGTATAAAAATGATTGTATAACATAGAATCTGTTATTGGTGACATATTGATATTTTTGCCCATGAGCATCACAAAAACCTCTTTAGGATTATATAATCTTTTCATGCTACATTTCTTTGGAACAACATTTTATTTATTTATTTATTTTTACAAACAATTTGCTTTATTTTCCTCTGTCAGCTATTACAAAAACAAAATTCATCGATAAGTAATATTCAGTCTGGCAACTTTTTATTCCATAAAAGAAACCCAATAAATCCTTTAGGTCAGTGCTTTTCAGGTATCAATTTTTGACATTGAACAATAAAATATGAACAAATATTCCTTCAAATGGTCCACTATAGTCGTGTTTAACATGAGCACTGTTATTATTATTAATAATACAAATGATAACTAGTGAAATTGCATTTCCTGTGAAAATGCAGTGTGAATGCTTATTGCTGAAAAACTTGCCGAAAAACAACTGATATTAGCTAAAACATGCTGAAATGGAATTGAAAAAGAAGAACAAGGTTAAGTTTGCAGAAGAAAGCAGAAAGAACACGTTTGCTGATTTAGATTTAAATAAGCAGAAATGAGCAAAACAATTAGGAAATTACCTAGAAAAAGCTGAATTTAGCAACAACAAAAACCAAAAATAGCCGAAAAGTAGCTGAAAAGGCAAAAAGAAGCTTAAACTATCCAAAGGAAGTGGAAGGAGCTGATATGAGCTAAAAAATGTGGAACTAGCTGAAAAAGCTAAATTTAGCAAAAAAAAAAAAAAAAAAGCTAAATACTATAGCATAAAAAGCTGAAACTTGTAGAAAAAAGCTGAAAGGAGCAAAACAAGCTGAAATTAGCAGAAATGTTAATTAGGCTGAAAGTAGGAGAAATTACCATGAAAAACTGAATAAACATGAATAAATCTGAAAACAGCTGATATTATCTAAAACAGCTGATATTATCTAAAAATGCAAAAAAAAAAAAAAAAGAACCAGAAAAGATAGAACAAAGTTAAATTAACAGAAGAAAGCAGAAAGAATGCATGTTTGCTGAAAGAAGCAGAAATGAGCACAAAAAAGTGGAAATTATTTGAAAAAAGCTGACATTAGCAAAAAACAGCTGAAAAGTATATGCTAAAAAGCAGAAAGTAGCTTAAATTACCAGAACAAAGTAGAATGAACACATTTTTGCTGAATTAGACTGAAATGAGTACAAAATATGTGGAATGAACTGAAATAGCTAAAATTAGCATAAAAACAGCAAAATAGTAGCTGAAATAATGCTGAAACTTGCAGAAATAAGTTAGAAGAAGCAAAGAAAATGTTGTAGTTAGCAGAAATAATCTGAAAGGAGCACAAAACAGCTGAAATTAGCTGAAAGTAGCTGAAGAAGTTTGAATGTTTCCACAAATTTCAACAATTTCGCTCAGAATGAGGACACTGTGGCTCAGCGCGTTGCATTTGATACACGGTGATAAATGACGTACTGAAGGACTTTCAGTAACCAGGTTCAGATGTTGTGCTGCCTATTTAAAAACCCCTGATGGTGTCAGTGCAAAGCTCTGAATTAAGTGATCCACCAACTGTGCATGTGACCCCCCCTACTCTGCCCTACCTCCACTTTGAGAAGGTTTGGACTGTACAGTAGAGTTAATTACTGCGACCCCCCTCTACGTCAGAGGGTTCAGGCCTGAGTTATCACCTCTCAGGCGCCCCCCGTGCATGGCGGTGACACCACCGTCCTCTGTTAAAACAACTTTAAAGGCCCCTCGCTCACGCTCTGAAAGAACAGAAACAAACCTATAAAACAGACTTAATGCAGGTTTTATCCTCTCAGATCAAAGGGGATCTGGGTCTGAGCTGCAGATTGTGTACCTGCTCTGTCGTTAACTCCCACTAGGAAAGCAGAAGACGGGTGGTCCAACCTGGTGCTTTGTCGTTATCTCACCTAAACCACTTCTGCTATTTAAACACATTCAGTCCGATTGTTGCTTCATCTGAAGCAAATCTGCCTCTGAGAGAAATGCCATATGTCCGATCTGTTGTTGGCTGGGAGCATGTCATGCGGCTTTTTAAGGAGGGGAAATCTTGATGCTGATAAAGCTGGTGGAAACGAGACATTACTGTGGCGATGAAAGGATTTTGTACTGGTGGAGCATATGCTGGCTGCTCTTTCATCTTTGTTTCATCTCTCTGTTTCAGAAGATTGGACAGGAAACAGACTGGCTCTCCTGGTCCTCTCCTCCATCTCAGCCCATCCATTCATCTTACCTCATCCGCCCCCTGCATCACTGCAGATCTATTCATAGCTCTTTTTGTCTAATTCCAGCATCCAGCCCACATTGCTTTTTACTCCGTTTCTGCCTACTTTTATTGAAGTTCCTCATCCAGAGCAGCAGCTGTGTCTCGCCCAGTGTTGAAACCACTGTCACAGCCTCTTGCACACCTTTCCACCTTTATTTTACCTCGTAGCTATCCTGCTCGGCCTTCCTCAGCTCTGTCAGTATGTGGTCCAACTTCTTTGTACAGCAGGAGGAGGATGGTCGTATGGGGGTGGCAGGGGCCGGGCAGGGTGGAGGCATGGCTGGAATGAAAGGGTTTAGAGGGCAAAGGCGGACCAACAAGATGAGTGACAGCCAGGAGGGAAAGATCAAGCTGGCTTTCTTTGTGGCTATTGTCGGGGTGACCCTGACCGTGTTGGGCATGGGGACAGAGTTTTGGGTGGAGTTGGCCCAGCCGAAGAATTTCAGCGGCAACCAGACCTGCCAGATGGCCCACTACGGCCTGTGGAAGGGCTGCGTCCGCACCCTGTGGGTGGCCGACATCGACCCGGAGAGGACGAGCTGCGGCCCTGCTGAACTACCTGGAGGTGAGATCAGAGTGTGGCTTTGTGTTCACAGTCCTGTGTCTCCGACCGTCTGCCTCACGTCTGCACGTTTGTGTGGCTTGAAGCTGCTTCCATGACGCACGCATCAGTCTGAAGTGGATTATCAGAGCTGGGTTGAAAACATTGATCCGATAGAGTCAGGTCGTCTGAACGGTTTCTTTGTGTTGAAACGTTTCGTCTTTCAAAGACTTTTGAACCACTTTGGCCATGGCTGCGTCAGAGGAGTCGACGGGGGAGAGGGCGGACTCCAGAAACCATCTGAGCACCATCAAACTGGTTGACCCACTATGAGAAGGTGCTGTTTATAAGACTGAGTTTGTTGCGGCTCCTCGGACTGATGAAGTCCTTTGGATGAAAGACGAAACGTTTCAACAAAAACAAACCGTCCAGAGGACCTGACTGAACTTTGTTGGATTTTTCTACCTGGATTATTGAACATGAATTAAAATATGTTGACACACTGAATTTCAGGTGCACGTTGTCCGCTGAACAAAGTCCACGTTTTCTTTATGTTTAAAACAGTAATCGCTTGAAGATGCTTATTTTTATTTATTTTTCTAACAGCAGAATAATCTTGTGATTTCTGTGCAAGATGTTTTATCTTTCCATTTCTTTTTTACACATTTCTTCTCACCTTGAATGTTTGTAATTTTCTACAAATTTGCAACAGAATAAATGTATTTTGGCCACAGCAGGCAGATGTCACAGGTCCATGAAGTGAGGCTCTGTGGAAAAACTATGAACAATTGCTATCTTACCTGTGGTAGATATCGCTTTGAGCAAACTCAGTTTGGAAAAATGGTTATTTTCTTACCAGACTGATGAGTATTCTGCCAGAAACATGATGATACTCCCACTAGAAGTTCCCCAGGCTGCACCAGAAGTGCTAAAGCTAACCACTGCTGCCTTTTGCACTTCCATAGAATTCAATGTAAATAACTATTTTTGCAAAATATGCATCAGTGTTTACAAAACAATTGCATGAATAACTATGATTTTTTTTTAAAGACTGGAATTGTTTTAAGACGGCAACAATTACCCCTTGGACCTAGCCCAGTTCAGACTAGCCATGAGCTCATCAGTTTGGTCAGAGTTAAACGCTGTTTCTTCAAGAGATTTAAGTAAGATTAAAAAACAACAACATTGTTTTTGGTAGCTGCATCATAAATGTCAATTTCAAAATGTGACTTTTTAAAATTTATTTATATAAATTTGGGTCCATTTTAGCTGCAAAAACAAGAAAGAAACTGAAACAATGAACAATGCTTTTTAAATGTATTAAGAAATAAAGTGCTTTTTTGTCAAAATATTTGCGCTAAAAACATCCAGCACATTTAGGTGATAAAGTTTTGACAGATGTCCATTTTTAGCGTGGCAACGTCTCTTTTATTCAACCTGACAGTGCCTAAGTTCTCCAGAGAGCGCTGATTATCTGCACAATGACCTAATTCTTCCCGAACCGGGAGTCTAGCTGGAAGTGACCTTCTGGAATCACTGAATCCTAAAAGTTTCCTCTCTCATGGCACAGTTAGACATCCAGCTCTCATCATTCCTGCGTTGCATCTCCGGCTGCTTCCAGCGAGCAGATTTCCTTCCAAGATGCTCTTTTGTTGTGTGAGAGAAGCCAGTCTGCTCCTGACAACCTCCCCTTGCACGTCCTACCATAGTTGGCCCACGCCGCTTGTCACAGATGGCTGTGGGCTCATCATATTTGCAGAAAAACAACTGTTTTTCGCCATCCCCGTCTTCTCCCTTTCACATCAGTGTTTACCCGCCTCTGGCTGCCGTCTCGAGCAAAGTGCGGCCTTCTGATGCCGCGTCTGTCATCTCGAGACCGGCGATCCATCTTCCGCTGCCCGCTGGAGAGGAACGTGACGGCTCAATAATTACAGTCTCAGCAGGGGTTTGGAAAGGGGGGGGGGGGGAAAGAAACAGTTGACTGTGATAGCACAACATGTTTCACAATCAACAGGGTGATAAATAGTGAGTTGCTCCACTGAGAAGTGTGTGCGAGTGCTCTCAGGCATATTTGTTTATGTGTGTGTGGGGGGGCAGTATGTGGTCATTTTAATCTTCAGCGGGTTAAAATCATCACTATGCATCTGTGAAGCCAAGTGGAATGTGACTACTTCACAGTTTTTGTCTAAATATAGAGGTGGGGGGTGGAGGGGGGGGGGGCAAGGAAGAGGGACAGACAGTGACAGAGGGAGAGTGGATGTCTAATGCAGTATTAACCAACTCCTGTGTGTTTCCTCTCCCTCCTGACTTCTCCTGCTCCTCCTCACCCCCTTCTCCATCTGTGGCTCCCCTCTCTTCCCCCTTTCTCTCTCCACCTCTCCATCTGTCTCTCCCCCTTCTCCTCTTTTGAACCCTTCATCTCTTGCTCTCCGTGATGATCCATAAGCATCCTTCCTTCCTTCCTCTCCTCTGCCTTTTATCCTCAGTGTTGTCTCCACTCGCTCTGGCGGCACCATATGTGCAGTGCTGGGTAATGTGTGTGTGTGTGTGTGTGTGTGGAGAGGTGCGTGCGTCTTCACGTATTCAAGCTAATGCTCGACTCATGGATATAAATAGGAATGATGCCTGGAAGGACAGAGTGCATGGATGCGTATAGTAGGCCCATCAGAGGAGACCAGCAGACATCCATGCAGGAGCGTCTCCATCTTATTTTCTTCTCTGTTCCCACAGACTCCAACTGCACCTACTTCAAATTCTTCACCTCTGGGGAGAACGCCGTCATATTCAAGAAGACGACAAACAGGAGTGAGATATTTTGTTTCAGCCCCTCCTCCTCACTTTCTGCTGCACACAAACAGTGGCTGTCAATGAAGATGCTCACGGTGGAGCTTGCAGGGCCACGCTGGTGGTTTTTGTCTTAGCTCATTAACTTCCACTGCCACCCCCTTTTCCAAAGCGAGCCATAAGCCTTCAGACTGATTAATGTGTTTGCCGTGCTGCTCGTTCCAGTGCAGCGTTCAGATTAGCTGCTGGAGACTTCAGTCGGCCATAACAATGGTCATCTAGAGCTTGATGTTAAAGTGGTGGGATGGTTCTACTGCACAAAGTCTACATTTTAATCAAGATGTTCAAACTACAACCTGCCAGATGGACAGTTTTAAGTGCATTTTTACAATTATACAGTGCAGTGAGAATGTAGGAACTTATGAACTGGATGAGTTTTAATGAAACGCTCAGTAAGTCATCATTGGATGTAAATAGGAACTACAACTGATGAACATCTTGGACTCAACTTGTTTTAAGATGGTTGCCACAGCTAATGGTAAATGGACTGTACTTAAAGCACCTTTCTATCTGATCAAGATACTCAAAGTGTTTTACAGCACAGTCTGTCCCTCATTTACCCAATCATACAGCACTAGATCTATACAAAGATTAATCTGCTTTATCACATTCATACACCGATGGGACACACATCGGAGGCAGTGAGGGGTTCAGTGTCTGCAGGGACATTTCGGCATGTGACTGCTAGTGGAATCAAACTGACAACTCTCTAACCACTCATCCACAGCCGCCCCAATTAATCAACCTTAGCAATTGCAAAAATGGCTAAAGCCCAGTTAAACCGACAGATGTTGAGCTAAAGTTTGGTTTGGTAGTAGCTGGGTGCAAAACACAAGTTAATATTTAATAAAACTCTGTACTTTGTTTAGTAAGTAAGTAAGTAAGTAAAAATTTATTTATATAGCGCTTCTCAAGATAAAAATCACAAAGTGCTTAGACAAACAAAGTTTTAAAAAGTGCACAAAATAAATGTAAGCAAACGCAGATTTAAAAAGATGAGTTTTTAGCTGGCCTTTAAAAGAAGCCACTGATCGGAGAGTTTGAGGAAGGAGTTCCAGAGTCTGGAACCACAGAAGAAAAGACTCTGTCTCCTTTAGTTTTCTGTTTGGTCTGGGAGACAATCAGCAGGTCACAGGACCTCAAAGCCCTGATCGGGGTGTAGGGATGGAAAAGTTCAGAGAAGTTTCCAATGAGAGCTATGTTTTGTAACCTTTTAAATGGTCCTAATCGGTAATTGTTTAGTTTTTGAAGTCGTCTGAAGTTTTGTTTTTGACTTTAGCTTTTTTTTTTTTTTAATCTGATTTTTAGTCTAGAAGAAGAAGAACTCAATCATTATTTGACCAAAATTCCAAAAAGGTCTGGATTCCATAAATTTCACTGGAAACTGAAGGGATGCCGAGCAGCGTACGGAGTCGGCATCTCATAGATGTATCGAACTAAAAGAAAAATAGTTAATTCTGTATAATTGAAATTCTAACATAGAAAATCTTAGTTATCCAGCTGAGACTAAAGCCTGTACACTGCGATACTTTGATTCTGCAAATTTGCTCAAATGCAGCGATGAAATTTAACATGACCAAGACCAAGGGCGGCTTTAAAATGATAAAGTTGGGCATAAACAAAATCATGGTATATATTTACTATATATATATATGCTTTATTTAAAAATATATATATTTTAGTATTACTGTGTATAATCAGTTCTGTGATAAAATATTTGTTCTGCAGAGAGATGAAAATACAAACTGTCTCTAGTTGTAAAAAATAAAGCCAATAAAAATCTGTTTTTTGTCAAGCCAGTATGAAAAGTAGCACAAGTGAAATCACTGTTCGTACTGTTAGCACTGTACGTAAACAGAAAATATGAAATCTCAACAGAATGACTCAAGAGTCAAACTTGGTGGTACATTTTTTTTTTACTGTTTTTTCACACTCCACGTACAGATGCTGTTTCTGCTCTTCCTCACAGATTTGAATCTGGCAGCAGCTGTCTTGGCCCTGCTGAGTCTCACCATGATGGTGATGGGCTCCATCTGCATCGCCATGTCGCTCAGCAAAGGCGTGATCTTCTTCCTCAAGCCAGCCTCCTTCTGTTTCATTCTGTCAGGTAAGAGCTCAGCAGATTTCCATTTTCTTTCTTGTAATCTTAATAATCCACAACTATTTGTCAGACCTAAAAGGGATAGTTTTGGAGCTTGTAAATTGGGGTTCTGCTGACAAGTTATGAACAGATAATATCTAGAGAGAGTAGGTAGAAAGAGTCATATTACTGACATGAGACTGAAATGCCAACTCCAATCTAAGCAAGCAACATTTAACAATGTTTACATGGTTATCATTTTAATGTTACACAGTTAATCTGACAGGAATATAACAATATTCCTGCAGGAAATACCTCAGCTTGCACCAGTGTGCTACAGCTAGTTTGTTTTACATTCAGCTATATGGTAATGTTGCTACTTGTGCTAGCAAATAATCATATAATTCAATGTAAATAATTTTCATTAAAAATGACAATGTAAAGGTCTATAAAATAGCATTTACATCTAGCGCAAAAAAGTTTTTAAGCCTGGCGTTGTCCTTACCTTTTACGGAAACCCACTTCAAAAGATTTTAACTACTGTTTTAAGAGATCAGAACTTCAAAACGCTCAGAAGGTGGCAATACATAATACTGCCTAGTACATACTAGGCACGTACCTTGTACTTACCTTGTACTTACCTGGTAATTATCAAGTAAGTACCAAATATGTACCGGGTGCTTACTTTAACTTATTGGATACTTAGATTATAATTACTGGATACGTATCGGTATTGCATATCATGTGCTGGGTACTTTCTAGTACTTCTCTAGTACTTACCAGATACAAACTGGGTACTTACTAGTTCTTACCAGGTACTTCCAAGGTTTTTACATGGTAGTTACCTGATACCTACAGGGACCGGGCTGGATTTGTTGCTCTATACCTACAGGGTATGTACCAGGTATGTAATGGGCGGCTGTGGATGAGTGGTTAGAGCAGTCGTCCAATGCGAGAGTTGGGGGTTCGATTCCACCAGCTGTCACATACCGAAGTGTCCCTGGGCAAGACACTGAACCTCTCATTGCCTCTGATGTGTGTCCCATCGGTGTATGAATGTGATAAAGCTCTGATTAATATCTAGATTCAGATTAGCTTTTGTAGAGATCTAGTAGAGTGCTGTATGAATGGGTAAATGAGGGCACAGATTGTAGTGTAAAGCACTTTGAGTATCTTGATAACTTAGAAAGGTGCTGTATAAGTACAGTCCATTTACCATTTACCATTTATGTACCATATACTTACTGTGTATGTATTGACTACATATCAAGTAACTATTGAGTACAGGTATGTAATTGGTTATGTACCTGATACTGACTGGGTATTTACTGGTTACATACTGGTACACTCAGGTACATACTCAGGTTAGGGTTAGGGCTAGTACTGGTACTGGGCTGTATTATGTATTGCTACCTCTCAGGGTAACTGGAAATCGATGCCTCTAATTAAATATCTGTGGCACAAAAGTTTATATATAGGTTGCAACACTCTAATTCTCTTCTGTTACCTTCATTTGCTCATTCAGGAGTTCTGGTCCTTCTGTCGGTTCTGATTTTCCACCAGTCGGTGCTGGCTCTGCTGTCCAGTGACCACTCCATTCCTCTTCACCACGAGCTGTCCTGGTCTGTCGCCTGCGTCGGGTCGGCGGGAGCCATTCTCATTTTCGGAGGTTTCCTTTTCATCATCCTCGCTCTCCCTTTCAGCCCCTGGCAGAAATGTTTGCCACACAAGAATAGCACCACTTAGTTCTTGAAAGCAAACCCACGAGCACAGTATTCTTAAAATGTGAGAGCAAGTGTAAACCAATTTCTCACAGCTGTGACTTTAAGCTCGCTCTTGGCATGTAACTTGCTATAAAAAGTCACACTAGGTCTTAATTACATTTATGAAAAATAGCCAACAACACATGCAGAACACAGTAAGGCCTCTAAGTAAACTTCACCTTTCTTTTATTTTTAGCTGTTGGAAAAACAAAGCGGACGACTGTTTGGAAATTTAAGCTGTTGATGTTGGGGAAAAAGTGTCAAAGATTTGTTTGCACATACCAGGAGCTGTACAACTGCAAATAAATTTATTTTAATTAAAATACTTTTCTACTTAATTCAATTTATAGTTGGTTTTCTATGAACCTAAAGCAATTCAAAGCACATTAGTTGTCCATAACTGCAAGGATAAGACACATACGTGGATAAAGTTCTGAAAATGTCAAGTCCCTATGTAAAAGAGACATGGTACATGTTTAAAATGCTCATACCAGTTTATTTAGGCCTTACTTTGACTGTTCTTCAGTTTGAAGGTGACATGGTGATTTATTGAGAGCCAACTATGGTTCAAAGATTTAAACACAAGCGATTTTTGTACGTTTCTACTTTTTGTTCTGCTTTCTGCTCCTTTGTTGACGTGAACAAGTTTGCCAACACAACAGTCACTGTGTCTTGATAACCCGTGGCCTTTTCAGCCATCCCTGATATCTATCCATCCATTTTATTTGCCTTTCTGAGTTGCGGGGGAGCTGTCTCCATCAGTCACTGTGTGAGACACCCTGGACAGTCCATCACAGGGACATGCATACTGTACACACTTTCACTCACGATAAATTTAGAGTTACCAGTGAACATACATGCAAGTTTTTGGTCTGTGGGAGGAAACTGGAATAACCGGAGAAAACCACCTACGCACAGGGAGAACATGACTCCACCCAGAGAGGCTGGGAAGCAAACCTGTGACCTTCTAGATGTGAGGCGACAGATCTAACCACTGGGTTACAGTGCTGTTTTCTGTTCATAATGTTCTGGTCAACTTGTTCTTATCCCAAGGCATCAAACTCTGGTGTTGTCTGGACACTTGGCTCTTTTCAAACACTAACACTATTATTAAGAAAGTGTAGCTACAAAAATGGCTTATTGGAGGTTAGAAAATACACAGCTCAACAACATTTCTTGTGTGTTGATTACTGGTGAAAAAGGTAATTTTAGCAAGGTTACCTGATGCCAAAGGCTCTAAGCTGATTGTCGCACACAGCCTCAATGGTACTTTGTTTTCTGCAGGATGACGTTATTTGTCTGTGCCTTCAAATGAGTGGGGCAGAAAAATTAAGTTCATGATGAGAAAATATCATAATTATATTTTATATGTTGTTTAGAATAAAATAAAAAAGTTGGTTATATATATATATATGTTGTTCCCTTCATCAGGGACAGCAACAGTGAGCAAACTTACATCACAGACTTGGTCATTGTTTTACACAGGATGTCCTTCCTGATGGAACCCGGGCTCGGACTCACAGCCTGAGGAGTACAAGACAACTGTGACAGTCCGAGCCACCACAGTCCCTAGAAACAGGCGCTTTTACAGGTTTAGCCAATCATTTTTAGGGTGACTTCATTGTTATGCATGTAATAATAGATGTGATTAAACAGTTGTCCCATCTTCTTTACCAAACTTCACCACCTAGACCAGGGGTCTGCAATCTGCGGCTCTGGAGCCACATGTGGCTCTTTGGTTCCTCCGCAGCGGCTCTTTCTAGCTTTGACCAAAACTAACATCAAACTGAATTTTATTGGTTGTTATACAAAAAACAAAAAAGGACTAGTTTTTGCTATTTTCCTGTCATTTCTTTTGCAAATATGTGAATACTGGAACAAGTACAAGGAGTAAAACATACTCACTTTATCTTTATTTCGATACTTAATAAATTTTTCCACAATTAAATAAAATTATATAGGTCTGCTTAGTTCATAGTTTTTATTACCGTATTTTCTGGCATATAAGCTGCAGTATTTTGCATAGATTTGTCAGTCCTGCGACTTATAAACTGAAGCGACTTGTATACATTTTTTCCCCCATATTCATAATGCAATTTTTGACTGACGCTTTAAATTTAGAAAAACTGCAACAGCGAGTCCTCCCATGCACGATCGCTTCACTCAGCTGGTGCAGGTGGTGGAACGCTGGAGAGCTAACGGCTCCGGTCGCGATGGATGAATGGAAGGATGGATGGATGGATGGATGGATGGATGGAGCTGCACCACCCAGATGAAATGAAGCTGTTTTGACCATTCAATAAATGCATAATAAATGCGACGGGTCAGTGGTGACACATAATAAATGTGACTTATGTATGTTTTCTTCTTCTTCATGATGCCTTTTTGACTGATGCGACTTATACTCCGGAGTGACTTATATGCTGGAAAATACAGTAATTAAAAAAAAAAAACTATCCCTCCTCCCTCTCTATACAAGAATCTGGTATTTTAATTTGTCTTGAATTGTAAAAATATCAATAAATGTTAAAAATCATTAGATATTTTTAGCTTCATAATGAAACCCCTAGTGGCCACAAAAGCCCCCTCCAACAAACCTAAAGTGGCCCATGGGCCACCAGTTGACAATCATAGTGGTAGGTTGTTGTTGTGGCTCTGAACACTTAATTTAGTGAACAAAAGCATAAAAATGGCTCTTTTGATCGTAAAGGTTGCAGATCCCTGACCTAGACCCTAATACTCCACAACATCAACATACTTTTTGTTTTATTTTGAGTCATAAATCCAGCTGCTGGAGGTCTTGGTGACTAAAACATGAACACATTTTTTTATTATTCTCTTGCTGGTTTTACTGAAGCTGATTTTACAGATTAAAACATGTAAAGTTTTGTCAAGCAATGAGAATTAAATGTTGTTTTTTGTACATAGTGTATTTTTCATATTGTGTTTCCAGGGAGGTTTGGTTTAGGTTGTAGCATTAAATATTTGTTTTATCAATAGTTAGCCCCAGCCTACATTAAAATTCTAATTCCAGTCTTTTGAAGTGGGTTTCTGTGGATTAAGCAATTAAGAGCAATTAATTACAATGAACTTGTATATCACTCTTTGAGCCATAGGCTAAACCGAGCGAACCGAAACCATAGCTGCTGTTTAACAACAGCACAGATCTCAAAATAATTCATTGAGACTGATCCCAATCCTATTTTATAACCTTTGCTTTGTTGTCAATTTCACATATATGTTTATTTACAAAAAAGTTTGAATATTTGCTGCCACAACAGCTGCAACAGTAGCAGCTAGCTGTTGCACACTGGAAGCAGCCTGGGCTACTTTAAGGCAGGAATGTTGTAATTTTTTTCTGCTGGAATAACTGTGTAGTGCAAAACTGACAAAAATGTAACTGAAGAACTGAAAATATTTTAGACTGGAGTTGTTTAAAGAAAGCGGCAATCTATTTTGGCCTTGGGTCTGTTCTTGCTAGCCATTAGCTCCTCAATCTGGTCAAAATAAAAAATCCAAACTGAGGCTGTCCAAAGAGCATCAGCAGGTAAAATGTGGATTATTCATAACTTTTTCACATAATCCCACCTCAAAAGCATCTATTTAAAACATTTTATAGTATTTGTTCCTTCCTAGCAAGACATTTGTCAAACTTCTGAGCATTAATCTTCAGGTGTCTATTATTTTCTTACATGCATTTAGCTGTTTGTCTGATTGCAGCCTCAGACTCATCAAACGCAGAATAAATTAATTCAGCTGTGAAAACAAAATAAAATGCCTACAGTAAATCTGATAATTAAACGGGACAAACACGCTTCATAAGCTCATGTATATAAAATATATATGCTTGTGTTTTAGGACTGTAGTAATGAATTACTGTATTTACAACATGTATTTATAAATGTATTTTTCTTAATTCTTATCAAAAATAGCTTATCTTATCTGTCTGGGTGGTAAATGCATTTTGTAAAACCGTGATATATCATATATAAATATCATACTGTGATCTGTTATTCTCACATGTGTGCAGTCTGTGTCATCTCCTTTGCTCATTATTAAACTGATGTGACATGAAATATCTGTTTCTCTCTCTGTGCGTGCATGTGTGTGTGTGTGTGTGTGTGTGTGTTGGCATGACATTGTGTCTGCCCTACAATTTGACATTTACTCATTTTCACCTCGACACTCTGTGGCTCCTAACGTCTCAGACCAAACGTCCCCATTCCCCAGAAAAAACCCCAAAACAACAACTCACCTATAATTAGGCCGGAGCTCATTGCGATGTCTTTCACTGCAGAGGTTGGGAAACCTTACACTTGAATTTCAACCATGTGCCCCCCAGCCTGAGCTCATACCTCTGCACCCTCTTCAATCCTGACCTCGATGCGTCATTTTTCCCGGTAGACTCCAGGAGGGGCCACTGGGTCGCTGTTCCATCCCTCCTCCAGCATGCCATTAACATTTTCATCTCTCACTCTCTCTCACACACACACACACACACACACATGCA